ATTTCTTGCAATTTAATCATCAAATGCAGCTAGAAATCGAAATTAACATACAAATACAAAGAGATACAAGAAATTAAACTTACCTTTCTTCAATAGATGGAGCTAGAAATCGGTCCCAAGAAGCCCTAACCACCCTTGACCCCTAATCTCACACAATGTTAGGAAGATATGTTGTTGGAATCGGCTAATTGAACACAAAATCGGAGGAAATTGGAAGATGCGAACAACAGCAAACGCAGCAAACACAGCAAACAGAATGAAGAAATGAGGGATCTGCGTCCGTTTTTTTTTATCTGGGAGACCCTTTAGTGGCGACGCTTTTAGCGGCGACAACTCGGGCTTTACCGGCGACAAATAGCAATAGCGGCGACAATCTGGAGGGAAGGGTACCGCGTCATTTTTTGGTCACTATTAGCGGCGACAATTTTACACTTTTAGCCGTGACAAATATGTCGCCGGTATTAGGTTTGTGCGGATAAGGTACCCCATCCGTTGGATTAGATATTTGATCGAACGGTTGAGGTCTAACCGAGGGGGAAAATGCGGATCCGGATGCTAACCCTTTAGCGGCGACACTATTGCCGGCGACAGGGACTTTTAGCGGCGACTCTAGCAAATGTCGCCGCTAAAAGTCGATGTCGCCGGTAATAGTGTCGCCGCTAAAGGTCGGTATTCTTGTAGTGTGTGATGATAAATATGAGTTTCAAAGTAACATAGAGCTATCATCACTATAAAAAAATATAAGGAAGTTGCTACTATGAATGTAGGAAATGCAGTCCAGTATTATGGCTATGTATTAAATACCTCAGGAAATACATGTTAAGGAGTCTTTAATGTAGAATGCCAACAGAACCAATCATGGAATCTTTCCTCTTTCTTGTTGTTTTTTAATTTGGTAGTTGACTCCCCTAATTGTTTAGCTTGGTTCATGCCAAAATTTCAAATTGAAAAGCATTTACGTTGAGTTTTTAAATAATGATTAAAGTAAATAAACCGGTTCTTGCCGACCAAGAACATGGTATGGTAATCAATGAAGGACTGCTTTAATTTATAATTTAATATGCATTTCTATGTTATATTCCACAGATAGAATGCTTCAAGATAGGAGAAAGAGAAACAACTAGTTGCCATTTACCTTAATAAATACATCATTAATATAATTATCATGAAATGATTAGTACAATAATTAAATAATTAAAGATTTAAGGATGCAAAAACCAGAATAAATGGACTGATGTGCTGTGATGATGATATGATGATGATGATGATTTAAGACCAAGTAATTTTAAACTTACCTACTTCAATAAGCCTTTCATACGTATGATATCATTCCTGACATCATCATAACAAATTGCTTTTTTTTGTTAACTAAGATGCTATATATACATACATTCTCACATATCAAGTTCTTCAATATTGCTAACTCCACCAAAAAAAACTTAAAACATTCTCATTGCCTCATCAAAAGATCTTCTAGTTTTAATTCCTCTATGTGGTAATAAAGCATGGAAGGTAGTGATATGTTTAGAGTTAGCAGTGCAAGGATAAGTAGTTCTAACATATGGAGAAATAGTGGAAGAGATATTTTTTCTCGATCTTCATTAGATGAAGATGATGAAGAAGCACTGAAATGGGCTGCTATTGAAAAACTACCAACAAATCTTCGATTAGAAAGAGGGATATTAACTGAAGAAAAAGGGCACCCAAGAGAGATTGATATCAAGAATCTTGGATTAGTTGAAAAAAGGAATCTTTTGGAAAGACTTGTAAAAATTGCAGAAGAAGATAATGAGAAGTTCTTGTTAAAGCTTAAGAATCGCATTGACCGGTAAATATTTGATAACTATTACTCTTAACTTCATTAAATATATATATATTTTTTTTCTTATGGTATTTTGATATTTGAATAAATGTAGAGTTGGGCTTCAACTTCCAACTATTGAAGTCCGGTTTGAGCATTTGAACATTGATGCAGAAGCCTATATTGGAGGGAGGGCACTGCCAACCGTAGTTAACTTTATGGTTAACATTTTAGAGGGATCTTTAAATTATCTTCATCTTTTTCCAAGTAGAAAGATCCCTTTACCAATTCTTCATGATGTTAGTGGTATTATTAAGCCTGGAAGGTGAGAATTTGACATGATTATATATTTCATATGTAACATATTATTTGCTAACATTTTATATTCATAATTAAAGTCATAATACCAACTGTTTATGCAGGATGGCGTTGCTTTTAGGTCCACCAAGCTCAGGAAAAACTACATTGCTTTTGGCTTTGGCTGGAAAACTTGGGTCAGATTTAAAAGTATGAGAGTAATTTTTTTTAGTCTGTGTGTGCTTTTCGTAACCCTCGGATGAAGATGTGATTGTCTACACCTTACCTTCCCTTTAGATCATCTCCAACCAATCACACAATCTTTTGCACCAAAATTATGTAATATTTTGTGTAAACAGTTATTAATTTGTCTCTAACCGATTACTTCATTTTTACACCAAAAAAATTTATTCCAGGTATATTCTTTTTGTCGCCTAATTTTATAGTTTTTTTTTTCAAAAACAACCATTATATTTATTAGTTCATTTTTTACAAATTTGTCTTATACATATTATGCTGCAATACCTTTCAATTATTATTATCAACAACTATAACCAAATAAATTATATATATATATATAGATATATATAATATATATATATATATATATATATATATATATATATATAATAAACAATTATTGCCCACGTTTAAAATATAACTATAAATTAAATTAGCTAGAAGTGTATTATCTCAAACTTGAAGGGCCATATTTTTTACACATGAAAGTTTACTACTCAAAGAGGTAAAGGAATAATATAAACCAACTTTAATTTTTGTTATACTGAATTTTTTACACAATTCCGGTGCAACAAATGTGATGGTTTGGAACAAAATGATGCAAAAAAAAAATGGCGTAAAACTGGGATTTGGTGTTGGGTTGGAGATTGCAATGGGATTAGGGATTGTTGTTGAAAATATAATCTATTTTTAGACATGAAACTTCATAGACTAATATATGAACGTATAAAATTACAGGTATCGGGTAGAGTAACTTATAATGGACATGGAATGGACGAATTTGTCCCTCAACGTTCGTCTGCTTACATAAGTCAACATGATCTTCATATTGGAGAAATGACAGTAAGAGAAACATTAGCTTTCTCTGCTAGATGCCAAGGAGTTGGAGCAAGTTATGGTCAGTAAAACAATTATAAACTTTTAAAAAATACAAAGTTAAAACTCGACTATTTCGTTCATATGATTGTGGAAATTTTTCAGAAATGTTGGCAGAATTATCGAGAAGAGAAAAGGAAGCAAACATTAAGCCAGATCCTGATCTTGACATCTACATGAAGGTGACAAAAAAAAAACACTCGTAATAATTAGAGTCTAATAATTAATAGTAGATATATGCTTAAAATATCGTCCACTTGCATATATATAAATTTTGGAGAATTTTACAGGCAGCATCACTAGAAGGACAAGAGGCTAGTGTTGTCACTGAGTATGTTATCAAGGTACCATTTTAACAAATTATGAATATAAAATAAGCTTGTGAATATCAAAACTAAATTTCTATTGTTATGTTAATTACATTTGTAGATTTTAGGCCTTGAAGTTTGTGCTGATACTGTAGTAGGGGACGAAATGTTCAGAGGTATTTCTGGAGGCCAGAAAAAGCGAGTCACAACAGGTAAAGAAATTAATTAATTATATAAACTTAATGAAAAAATTATAATATAGTGTAAAATAAATTTTGATTTAGTTGAAATGAATTGAAATGTAGGGGAAATGATGGTGGGACCAGCAAGGGCATTGTTCATGGATGAAATATCAACTGGATTAGATAGTTCAACAACTTTTCAAATTGTAAATTCCATTAGGCAATCAATCCACATTCTTCAGGGCACTTCTGTAATTTCACTCCTCCAACCGGCTCCAGAAACTTACGAACTATTTGATGACATCATCCTTCTCTCAGATGGACAAATTGTTTACCAAGGTCCACGCGAGAATGTTCTTGAGTTCTTTGAGCAAATGGGTTTCAAATGTCCCGAAAGAAAAGGAGTTGCAGATTTCTTGCAAGAAGTAAGTAATCTTATATATGTAAAGTCAATAACATTATTTGTTTCATAATATAATAATAATAATAATAATAACCCAATTCATATTTTTTAGGTGACATCAAGGAAAGATCAAGAGCAATATTGGACACGAAGAGACCATAGCTACAGTTTTGTGACATCAAGAGAGTTTGCTGAAGCATTCCAGTTATTTCATGTTGGAAGAAATCTAGGAGATGAACTTTCTACTCCGTTTGATAAAAGTAAAAGCCACCCTGCTGCTTTAACAACAAAAAAGTTCGGTGTTAGCAAAAAGGAATTGTTAAAAGCTTGCACTTCTAGAGAGTATTTGCTCATGAAAAGAAACTCCTTCGTGTATATATTCAAGATGACACAGGTGAGTATATAATTAATAATCGGTTTTCTTAATATGAATTTGTTATTGTTGTATAAATCTTGACTGAAATAACTTTTTTTCTTTCAGCTTATTTTCATGGCTACCATTACATTGACACTGTTCTTAAGAACCGAAATGCCAAAAAATACGTTGGTTGATGGGACAATTTTCATGGGTGCTTTGTTTTTCATATTAGTCATGATTACATTTAATGGATTCTCAGAGTTAGCATTGAGCATTATGAAACTTCCTGTGTTCTACAAACAAAGAGACCTTCTCTTCTTTCCTGCTTGGGCATACTCTATACCTACATGGGTTTTGAAGATCCCAGTGACAATTGTTGAAGTTGCCACGTGGGTGATTATGACTTATTATGTCATAGGATTTGATTCAGATCCTGGAAGGTAATAGTTTTAATATTATATATAACCAAAATAACTAGTACATTGTCTGTTTTGTTTCAATCTAATAAATTTCCATTTTCCACTTTTTTGAAGGTTCTTCAAACAAATGTTTTTGCTCATTTGCATTCAGCAAATGTCGTCTGCTTTATTTCGTTTCATGGGAGCATTGGGAAGAAATATCATTGTTGCAAACACATTTGGATCATTTGGGTTGCTTACTATTTTTGTTCTTGGTGGATTCATCTTGGCAAGAGGTAAAGTAAAGAAGAAAATAACTTCAAGATTCTTTAATAGGCATTCAATTTTCAAGATTTTCTATATATAAGAAAAAAGTTTTTTTTGACCATTTGACTTCCATTTTTCACTTCAGATGATATTAAGGGTTGGTGGATATGGTGTTATTGGTTTTCGCCTATGATGTATGGACAAAATGGTGTGGCTGTTAATGAGTTCCTTGGAAAGAGTTGGTCAAAAGTACGTGTGAAAAATTGGTTGTAATGCAAGATGTGTAAATCAAGACAAGATGTATCATTAAAATTTACAAAATATGTGTTTTGTAGGTTTTACCAAACACCACAGAAACAATAGGTGTCACTATCCTCAAGTCACGTGGAATTTTCCCAGAGGCAAGATGGTATTGGATAGCCGTAGGTGTTTCAATTGCATACGTTTTCATCTTCAATATCTGCTTCACCTTGGCTCTTGAATACCTTAATCGTAAGGATTTAATTCACTTTTTGTTTTGTACGTATAGATTTCATGACATATAATGTCAACAAACTATCTTAAAGTTACTCATTCAGTCACCAAATCATGTTACAATATTGTCAACGTGTCATGATATGATAAATTGATACAATCACATGTTTTTTATGCAGCATTTGGGAGCTCTCAAACAGTTCTATCTGAAGAAAGCATGGCAGCAAGAAAAGATATGAAAGCAACCCAACCAATTGAATCATCAGTTAGAGCTCCATCATCAATACCAATGTCATCAAGAGTGGGAAGTATCAATGACACAGATCAAAACAAGAAACGTGGAATGGTTCTACCTTTTGTCCCCCTTTCAATCACATTTCATGACATCAAATATGCAGTGGATATGCCTCAGGTTACTTACACAAGCCTAACTTTACATCTCACAAGTTGTCAACATTTGGAACTAATTCATTGTTTTATATCAGGAAATGAAAGCTGAAGGTGTAGCACAAGATAGGCTAGAGTTATTAAAGGGTGTGAGTGGTGCTTTCAGGCCAGGAGTTCTCACAGCTTTAATGGGGGATTAGTGGTGCTGGAAAGACCACATTAATGGATGTTTTAGCTGGAAGAAAAACCGGTGGATATATTGAGGGAAGTATTACTATCTCTGGATATCCAAAAAAGCAAGAAACATTTGCTCGTATAGCTGGATATTGTGAGCAAACTGATATTCACTCCCCTCATGTCACTGTCTTTGAGTCCTTACAATATTCCGCGTGGCTTCGTTTACCTCCTGAAGTTGATTCGGCAACCAGACAGGTAAAAATAATTCAAGAAATACTATTTGGAAATATTTGATGTTACTGTAGGTTCGATGCCTATAAAAGGAGTCCAAGGTTTTGGTTTCAAAGTGTCTTAATTAACTACACTTGAAGTGTTTGATTCTTTTCTTTTTCTTTTATGTCTGAAGATGTTTGTTGAGGAGGTGATGGAGCTAGTGGAGTTGGTTCCATTAAGGGAAGCCCTTGTGGGATTACCTGGAGTGAATGGGCTTTCAACTGAGCAAAGAAAACGGTTGACAATTGCGGTAGAGTTAGTGGCTAACCCGTCTATAATTTTCATGGATGAGCCGACATCAGGACTTGATGCAAGAGCAGCAGCCATCGTTATGAGAACAGTGAGAAACACGGTTGACACCGGTAGAACAGTGGTGTGTACTATTCATCAACCAAGTATTGACATCTTTGATGCTTTTGATGAGGTAAGTTATAATTGACTTAGGCTATGTTTGGTAGACTAGCTGAAAAGCTAGTTGATAGCTGAAAAGCTAGCTGGAAAAAATAATATTTGGTAAAAACTAGCTGAAAGATATAAAATAACATAAAAAGACATTTAGAATAATATGTTTTTTATAATTAATTAAGGGTATATTTGTGAAATCTTAAAAAAGCTCCTGAAAAGCTACTTAAAGTAGCTTTTTATAAAACTAGCTTATCAGCTATTTTTTAGTTTGTCAAACATGACAATTTAAAAAATCTTAAAAAATAAGCTAGTTGTGGCGCGCCAAAACACAACCTTAGCTCAATGATCAGTTTAAGTTAGTTTTTCATGACTTATAATGGTCATTCTTATTACAAATAGTCAGTTTACATACAAATCGATGCTTTTTTTACAGTTATTTCTTTTGAAAAGAGGAGGTGAAGAAATATACGTTGGTCCATTGGGACGACATTCTTCTCACTTAATCAAGTACTTTGAGGTCAGTTTAATGAACATACAAAACTATTTGATTTTTCCATATTTGAAAATAAAAAAACATTAACAAATGGTCTTCAATTTAATGAAGGAAATCGATGGAGTGCATAAAATCAAAGATGGTTACAATCCGGCAACATGGATGTTAGAGGTGACATCAGCATCACAAGAAGCAATTCTAGGGGTTAACTTTGCAGAAGTGTACAAAAACTCAGAACTATACAAGTAAGGGTTAACTTTGTAATTTTGCATCACTTGATACTCCTAATCAAAACCTCATTTTCTTGTTTCTAATTATGATGTTTAATTGGTGACCCATTTAGGTCAAACAAAGAAATGATAAAGGAAAGTAGCAAACCAATACCCGGTTCTTCTGATATACAATTTCACACTCAATATTCACAATCTTTTTGGACACAATGTATGGCATGTTTATGGAAACAACATTGGTCTTATTGGAGAAACCCTCCGTACACTGCTGTGAGGTTCATGTTTACAACTTTTATAGCATTGATGTTTGGAACAATCTTCTGGGATATGGGGTCCAAAAGGTAATTAATTAACAGTTGATGTAAAAGATTAAAAAATAGCAATATACATTTTGTTAAATTTTTTCTATTTCTTATAGGGAAAAGAAACAAGATCTTTTCAATGCTATGGGTTCTATGTATGCTGCTATACTTTTTATTGGTGTACAAAATGCCACATCAGTGCAACCGGTTGTTTCTATTGAAAGAACAGTTTTTTATAGGGAAAGAGCAGCTGGGATGTATTCAGCTTTACCATATGCTTTTGGACAGGTATAACATATAATGTTCTACTCATTTTCCATTAGTTAAAAAGGGTAAATTACACACAAAACATTGTATGAAATTTCTGTTAAGTAACATTTTATGTGTTATACAGGTTGTGATTGAGATCCCATACATTTTTGTTCAAACTATTGTATATGGGATCATTGTATATGCAATGATTGGATTCGAGTGGACAATAGTCAAGTTCTTTTGGTATCTTTTCTTCATGTACTTCACCTTCTTGTACTTCACATTCTATGGAATGATGACAGTTGCAGTAACACCAAATCACAACTTCGCTGCTATCATCTCATCAGCATTTTATGCAATATGGAATCTTTTTTCAGGATTCATTGTTCCAAAAACAGTAAGTTTTTCAAACTTCAAACTATCATGTTTATCTTTGCTTCAATTTTGATACAAAGTGGCTAACTTTTTCTATTTCAAACTTCAAACAGAGGATACCCATATGGTGGAGATGGTATTATTATATATGTCCGATTGCATGGACATTATACGGGTTAGTTGCTTCACAATTTGGGGATATAACTGATAGACTTGATTCAGGTGAAACAGTTGGAGAGTTTATCCATGATTTCTATGGTTTTGAATATGATTTTATAAAATATGTCGCGGTGATTATTGTGGGATTCACTGTTCTTTTTGGGTTCATTTTTGCGTATTCTATCAAGGCGTTTAATTTTCAAAGACGCTAGTGAAAAAGAATCAAAAGATCATGAGGTTCATCGAAGATGAACTCATAGGTATCAGTTGTATGTAAATCAAGAAACTTGTATCATGTTTTAGCATTCTAATAGTTGAGTTGTATGTCCTACTGAATAGAGAGTGTTATGAGTCGTTTGATAAATATATGTGGAAATAGTAGAATGTATGTATGTATTCGAAATGAAAAGAAGAAATTTTGAGCTATATGATGCTTGTGTTCTTTAATATACTGTATAAAATAAGTATGGAGGGTTTGAATCAACAAGCTTTTGGATTTTAGGCAATTGGGTTTACCTGGATTATGGGGGAAGAAGCAGAATGTCTATATGAGTTTAAAAAAATTGGAATTGTCGCTATAAATAAGAATGATGGATAACCCTAATAGCGTTCTTTCCTTTCATTTTGATCGTGTAAACTTTGTAAAAGATTGATGACTTCTTATTCAGAATATCACAATGGCAACGACTTCATTAATTCTCCGCCTTCAATTAACTCGGACGATTTAAAATAATCGAAAGTAGGATTAGGGCACGGTTGAAGCAAATAAGAAGGAGATGAAGGGAGAAAACATAGGGAATTGGTTTTGAATGGTCTCTGATACAGGATCCTATTTAGAAAAAATAAACTAAAATGACTAAAAAATCCATTTCGTAGTGGCAAGAAAAGTTCGTAGTGCAGTATGTGAAATGACTATTTAGAAGAAAAAAAAAACTATATTTTGTAATGCAAAACAATCGTATATTACGTTATGTAGAAAAGTATTCAAACAAAAAAAAGAACTAAAATGGACAAAAGCATATTTTTTGTGCACAATAACATTTCTCAAGGTAACATGCAAAAAGTAGGGATGTGTATGGGGACGGTTTGTGTAACACCCATAAAATTCAGGCCAATTTAAAACATTTTAACCCATTCAAAAACCATTAAGTTATTACAACTTGTTTTCAAAATAGTTTAAACATCAGAGTATCCCAAGAACCAGATTACAAAATCATGAAATATGAGGAGCGGTACGATCACGCCTTTGCCTTGCCACGATCACCTGATGTACCTGAAACAATAAACTAAAAACCGTAAGCTCGAAAGCTTAGTGAGTTCCCCCAAAATACCCGTACACACGTAACCATACACATACAGCAATGAACAACATACTATGGGTCCAATCAACCGTCAGGTTGGAATACCCCAGGCCCTCAACCGTCGGGCTGGAATGCCAACATACTACGAGTCCAATCATCCTCGGGATGGAATACTCTCGGCCCACAACCATCGGGTTGGAATGCCCATACACCTATACATACAATAACTACTACGGGTCCAATCATCCCTCGGGATGGAATACCCCAGGCCCTCAACCATCAGGTTGGAATGCCCACCTACTATGAGCCCAATCATCCTACCGGGATGGAATACTCCTGGCCCTCAACCATCGGGTTGGAATGCCCACCTACTATACATACAATAGCTACTATGGGTCCAATCATCCCACGGGATGGAATACCCCAGGCCCTTAACCATCAGGTTGGAATGCCCACCTACTATGAGTCCAATCATCCTACCGGGATGGAATACTCCTGGCCCTCAACCATCGGGTTGGAATACCCACATACTAGCAAACATGTGCACCTATTAAATAATCATATAACAGTCTACAAGACAACATACTAAGGCCCTATCATCCTACCGGGATGGAATACCCTCTACTACTGCTCAACACGTGCACATATAACAGGTAATCTCCTACCAGCATACAGACAGTCAGACCAACTACAGGTCACTAAGCATAGCCACATCCAATCTACCAGAATACCGATCTAACAGAGCATACCATCATATAGCCATCCTATCTACCAGGATGTCAACTAACATAACACAGCAGTAACTATCTCAAATAACAAATCAAAGGGTCGGCCTTGGTGCCTTAGACCCTTGGGTATAGTGAGGATAACTCACCTTGCAACTGCCGAGCCGAACCACGAAAGCACAATCCCAAAGCACTGCCCCAAAATCCAATACCTATAGCCATCAATGATCCATTGACATAAATATCCGAATTACCATAATACCCTTGAGGGTCAAACTGGTCAAAGTCAAAGTCCTGGCCAAATTCAACCTTCCTGATTGACCCTACTCGCCGAGTCAACCCGCTGACTCGCCGAGTTCCTAACTCAGAAAACTCTCATACCACGACTCGACTCGCCGAGTCACCCCATGACTCGTCGAGTTCAACAATCTTTGAGTCCTATCATGTCCAACTCATTGAGTCACCACTCAACTCGCGATCTGAGTCTTAACCAGAAGAGGTTGGGGTTTTGCGTTCTGACTCGCCGAGTCCAAGAACAGACTCGCCGAGTCCACGACAATCTTCAACAGACTCGTCGAGTTGTTCCTCCAACTCGTCGAGTCCATTCCTATCTTCAACAGACTCGCCGAGTCCAAGAACAGACTCGCCGAGTCCCTTCAGTCCTTTATTCATACAGAGGCTTTTCGAATCATGCAGGGGCTCAAAACTGTAGATCCACTCTTCTAGGGCATGAGTCTCACGTAAAGTTGCAAACTTTACGTGGAAACAAAGAGCTATAGGCCCAAATCAATCTAGGGCTAAGGTTTAAGACAAGGATGCTTCACCAACAAGCCAAAGGCTGATACTTTGTGAGTTTATGGACCAAGACAAGTCTAGATCTGAAGTAGCAACCTCAGATCTACACCCCTAACCCGAAATAGATCCTTAACATGCAAAAAGGGCCCCCAAATCTCATTCTTGAATAGATATAAATGCAATAGAGTCAAGGTAACAGCTTGTTACCTCTAAAATGTGCCCAAGCTGAAGTAGATCCTAGATCTATACCAATCCCTTGATGCTAGCCTCTTGATCTTCAAGATCCCTTCTCAAAATTCCTCCTCCAAAGCTCAAATCTCTTTAACAATGGAAGCTCATACAATTTTAGGGTTTACTGACTCTCAAGGGCAATAAGGAGGCTGAAGGGAGGACATATGGTCCTTTAAATAGGGTGCAAGCCTTAAGATTAGGGTTTTCTCTTTTCAGCACCAACTCGTCGAGTCCAGCTGCCGACTCGGCGAGTTGGTCACTTAACTCGCGACCAGAACCCGCTCCGACTCGACGAGTAAGTGTACCTCCTCATCGAGTACCTTCTTCAATTTACACTTAAGTCCTTCAATCATACTTCTAAATTTTGGGATGTTACAACTCTCCCCCACTTAAATTAGGCTTCGTCCTCGAAGCCTGCTGCAGTATATGATTCTGAGTATACCTTTTGCACTGCAGACTCCGATTTCCCAATCAACTCAGGCCCTTCCAGACCCCACCACTGTACCCCTTTTCAAATAACTTCTTCTCGTGTGGTATCCTTGCCAATACTCCCGACCGGCCACCGGCCTTTCTACTTACTGTCAGAACACATCAATCCAGTATCACCCGATGATACTGCCACCTTCCTGACCTAAACACACCTTCGAGACTTGCGAAAGTTAGACACCACAATAATCCACTGAGCTCTGCTATAACACTAATCCACCTTTCCTTCGCCCAAAACTGGCGATAACCCGGATAACCTGCAATAGGGAACGAATCCTGTTCCCATCCCGAATCTATTCCCTTTTTACCATAACAGGATACTGCATCCTTCAGCTTCTAGCAACTCCCATGAATCAACCAGCTATATCACATAATCATTCGTACCTAGCCCAATCAGCCTCGGGCTGGAATACTAGGTACGCCTATAACGGGTCCCGTCATCCCAAGGATGGTATACCCTCGCATTCCCACGCATGTTTTGGCCCAATCAACCCTCGGGTTGGAATACGAAACACACCAGGTCCAATCAATCATAGAGTCTGGTCATCCTCATGATGGAATACCCTATATTGGAATACCACTTCTCACATAACCCATGCCTACAACCATACTTGAAGCCCAAGGATCCAACCTTGCAGCTCCCTCAATCTACTCTGATTCGACACAACCGAGTGTAACTCACTCAAATCTCGATATCACGTCTACTCTAAACGTACCATGACATGAAACATTACTCCCGCGATCCCTAGGTCCACGACCTACGACTGGAATATCCTCACACGGTTCTCAGCCCGGTCTAGACTGCTCCCGAGTCTATCAACTCCGCTATCTCTAGCTCCTCTGTCCAAATCTCCAATCTGGAGTTACTCACCTTCTCCTCTTCCAAGGAGACCTGAACCATGACCTCGCATCATCAGTCGGTGCCGAAAGTCGGAACCTCACTCTACATCATCCACTTGTGGAGTACGTCGCTATCCCATAACACGTACATATACTCAGAAACTGATTTCATAACCTACCATCCATAAAGAGTCTTTCGCATGCCCCTCAACATTTTCGACACTTGGGAACAACCCCACTGATTGTTATAGCATAGCAGTATCCTCACTGCTCGCTCAAAGATCCACCATACAGACAGGGTTCTTACCATAACTGGAACGCCTCATCGCACCACTTCCCGTAACCGACATCCAAACTGCGTCAGGCGACATTCTTCCAAACCACGCCCCATCCGAGAATTTCCAATTCTCCCCCACTTAGATCACTAACTACTGTCTACCGGCGGCGAAGCTGGTACGCGACTCAATCGTCCCAAACCGAGACAACGAACTTCAAGGGATCCGAGTTCCCACTGATGCTTCCGAATCTCTGGATCATGACCTTCCTCTCTCTTGAATGCATCACCAGATACTACCCCTCTATAATTTCTCAATAATAACTTCTCACTATCATCTACTATGCTCTAATAACTTATGCAGGAAACAAACAACTCATAATATCATGAACAAGATATAGAAGGAAAATACATACCGGCTGTCACCTCTGGCGTTGTCCCGATCTCCTCGGCCATAAGCTGATAAGCACGCCCTGGAGCCTTCGGAGGCTCTGCTCAACCCTGACCCCCGTCAGTAAGTCTCGAAGTGGCTGGTGTTGGGACCTGCACTGGCCTAGCAGCCAAGAGAGGACATTGGGCCTTCATATGGCCCACCTGATCACAATGATAACAAAGTCGGACTCCGGCAGCTGGAGCCTGCTGCCTACAATCCCTGGCTATGTGGCCCTCCTTGCCATACTTGTGGCACCCAGAAGAAGATCGACAAACTCCATCATGTACCTTACCGCACTTCCTACAAGTGCGACTCCTCTGGCTTTCCTGACGATAATC